GGTAAAGCTAATAAAGAGGAGACCTTTATTAGATGTGACGAACAATAAAAGGGACTCCAGTTCTGAACATATTTTTTTCTAAATCCTGTTCTTCTCTCCAACTATTACCCCATGGAAGGCTTGTGGTATAGGAGTAAAGTAAGAAAAGGGAAAGTATAAGGCAAGATTTATTGCCTGGAGTTTTTAGAGCTGTGACCTGTTGTTTCAGATACCCAGGTTTGGACTGAAACCTCATTGTGCTGGCAGTCAATGCACACATATTGGAAAAAAAAGGTGGACCCTCTTCCCATGAGGTTACCATCTAAATGAAATGCAGTTTGAAAAAAAAAAACAGTGCCTGACTGTGTTTTGGTAACATCTAAACAAAGAATTGCTTTGCACATGGTTTTATTCATATTTATTTAGATCACTGTAGTAAGCTACAGGACGAAGAAAATGCAAAGGAAAGGAGATAACCCCTCACCACACCATTTCTTTAATCTTAATATTGGGCTATATAATAAAAAGGATTATCTTAATTTGATAGCAATATTTTTGGTTTGGTATTGAAGGACATTCTGGATGGTAGAGATCTGCAGTGTCCTTGTTGGCAAGCAGCTGGAATTGCAGCAATGACGCAATTTTTGTGTAGCTGTCAAACAAGGGACCCTCTCACTGTGTTAGCTGGATTCCTTCTTTGTTGTTATTGTTCTGATCCAATTAGTCAATGCTTTCAAGTTAAGAGATCCAACTGGCTAATTGGACTGAAAGAGAGACAAGAATAACAGAAACTCAAACTGGTGGTACAAAAGGAAGAATAGGAAATTTTTTTTTAATGTGAAGTGCCCCAGTAAGTCAATTGCATGTTTTAACTAAATCTTAATTGCACCAAAATAACAGAAAGCAATCAGAAAGTTTTGATTCATTACGTGCCAGAAATATGAGAAGTGGAAGCGATCTAATCCAGGAATCTGTCACTATGAGTAAGCTCCCATGGAGCCTGTTTTATTTGCCTTATACCACAAAACATGGAAGAGACGGTCTACAAACAACCAAACCAGCTGTTCTCTGCTATTTCCCCTTTATTCAGCACGGGTGAGGCCACACCTGGAGTGATGGGTCCAGTTCTGGGCTCCCCAGCACAAAGACTGGGGCGTACCAGAGACAGTCCAGCGAAGTGCCACTAAGGTGATGAAGGGACTGGAGCATCTCTCCTGTAAGGAAAGGCTGAGAGAGCTGGGACTGTTCAGCCTGGAGAAGAGAAGGCTCAGGGGATCTCATCAATGTAGATAAAACACCTGAAGGGAGGGTGCAAAGAGGACAGAGCCAGGCTTTTTTCAGTGGGGGCCAGTGACGGAACCAGAGGCAAAGGGCACAAACTGAAACACAGGAGGTTCCCTCTGAACATCAGGAAACACTTTTTTGCTGTGAGGGTGGCCGAGCAGTGGCAAAGGTTGCCCAGGGAAGCTGTGAAGTCTTTGGAGATCTTCAAAAGCTGTCTGGACAAGGAGACAATTCACTGATTCAGGACTTCCCATTCGAATGCTGGTTATGGTGCAGGAGAAGGGATGCTGTATTGCTGCACCTCAAATATTGTGTTCAGTTTTGGGCCCCTCACTACAAGGACATCGAGGTGCTGGAGCGTGTCCAAAGAAGGGCAACGAAGCTGGTGACGGGTCTGGAGCACAAGTCTTCTGAGGAGCAGCTGAGGGAGCTGGGGTTGTTTAGCCTGGAGAAGAGGAGGCTGAGAGGAGACCTTATTGCTCTCTACAACTACCTGAAAGGAGGTTGTCGAGGTGGGGGGGTCAGTCTCTTCTCCCAAGTAACAAGTGATAGGACAAGAGGAAATGGGCTCAAATTGTGCCAGGGGAGATTTAGATCAGATATTAGGAAAAATTTCTTCACAAAGAGAGTGGTTAGGCATTGGAACAGACTGCCCAGGAAAGTGGTGCAATCACAGTTCCTGGAAGTGTTAAAAGAAACGTGTGGATGTGGTGCTTAGGGATGTGGTTGAGAGGTGGACATGGCAGTTAGGTTGACGGTTGGACTCAATGGTCTCAGAGGTCTTTTCCAATCTTTATGCTTCTATGATTCTATGATTGTGGTTTGACATAAGGCTCCTTATACTGTCTTCAAATATGAAACATGCCTTCAGAGACAAGGCTGGGGCACAGAACAACAGGTTCTAAAATGCTGAGATGTATAATACAGAGGTGCCCTTGACCTTCCTGATAACAGAACTGCTGATGACACAACAACATACTGCCTGTGCCCAACATGAAACAGCAGCAAATCCTTGCAAATGTATTTTAATCTGTGCATGCCTCCAGGTCCCATCCACTTCCTCACAGTTAGAAAAATATTGAGTTATGAAACATACTGAATTATGAAATATCATTGCCTACTTTGCTGAGTACTGGTTGCACATACTTCTATGTTAACTAAACCCCAGCTTATCCTTCTCTGTAGAGGTTTATGACTCAGTTCATCAAAGAAAAAAACCTACTTTTTAAATGTAAAAGAAAAGAACAGTAGAATCAAACATGTTTGTCCAGAGAAGATTCTCCGGCAGGGTATGTCTGCACTGCCCAATGCAGCTGAGATCTCTGGGCTGCTGCCAGCACAGGTAGCTCGGACATCAGACCTGGCATAGCCATGTTAAGGTCAAGCATCATGCAAGACATTTACTCTGAACAAAGTAGCTGCACTGCTTCTCCTATCCGATCTAGCCTGTTGAACTGGCTTTGATGTCCGTAACGCTGCACTGCATTGGAACGAGAGAATGAAGTATGTGTTTTATTAAACCTCAAAATGAAAGCATGCTTTTTTGTTACATGAACAATAACATTCTTTGATGTCCGAGTTAAAAGAGTTGCCTACCAAGTAAATGATTTGAAGCTACCAAATGATTGACCATGAGGATTAAGAGAATGTTTATCATGTCAGATATTCAAGATTAATTTATGTGTAGTGCTCCTTCTCTATTATCATTTTGATAATAAATTTGGATTTGATTTCTGCATTAAAAAAATCACATAGGGGTGGGGTTACAAACTCCTAAACCATGCTTTATAACATGCTGGTAATTCTCAATTTCTGATGACATTACAGTCTAAGCATACTGATTTTTATACTGATTTCAACTGATTATACCTCAACACTTTTAAGAATTTTGCCATTACCTTCTCTCACCTCTTTCCTCAATAAGAACAATTAGATGAAGGTAGTAAAGAAGTAATGCTACTGCTGACTTTCAGAACAGCTGTGAATAGACACTTATTTCAATTCATGCTATGTATTTACTGCAACTGGTATTCTTACTGCTAAAAAAAATTAGATACTCTTACAATTCCAGTGTGCAGGTTATGTGTTACATAGCAATAGTTTGCCTTGTATTCAATTTAGAAATAGATTTAAATTAAATAGCACTTTTTCACAAACAGAAAACTACAGCCTTCTCATCAGTAAGGCACGGAAATTCTGAAATTTATGTTTTAATTCCGAATAATTTTCATTTCTTCATCTACACCCACAGGCTGCCAAAAACATCAATAGAAGGTGGACAATCAAAGCATTCCACCCCCTTCCCATCCCTGTTCTCTCCTTCTTCAGCCCACTATGCTCAGACAAGGATATATCACCATGCTAGTCCCCTCTACAGTCAGCCTCTCAGCACCAAGCTTTAACTCTAGGTATTAAGAATACAAAGGAGTAAACCAGCTTTCCATCAGCTCATGACTTTCAGTTACTGGTTTTCCTTGCTCTAGGATTAGGGTTTGACAGCAATGTAGTAACACCTAGCAACACACAATGCAAAATATTCTCTGTGTAAACAGTGCCTATTTTCTTCCTCCCTTGGTTCCCATTTTTCCTCTTTGTTTTTCAATTGGCTTGCTGTCCTGGTTTCAGCACTGGGTTAAACCATGACACTTGCTCCCTGCCCCACTGCAGTTCTTTTTTTCCCCATTTGATCATCTCTTTTCCTGCTCCACACTTCTACACTCTCTTCCAAACCTCAAAATGTTAAGAGTCCAGAGCTGAGCCTGAAAAGCAACATATTGAAATGGATCTGATACCCAGCACCTGGCCATAAATAAAAGGAAGGTTTTATCTCAGATGTAAAAGCAAAGGGGAAAACATTGCTTCAGATAAGTTCGTGCTCTTCAAATGCTTACTCTGTTCTTGTGTTTAAGCTATGTGAAGAAGGCAATTTTGGGGAAAAGCTAATGTACAAAAGAAAGAAAATAAAAGCTCATGATCAGGCTTCTGAGGAATTACCTTCCAGTGAAACACCTTCTCACAACTTTTACCACACTGTCTTCCTTCTGAATATCCCTTGTTTTTTTAAAATGCCCTTCCATACATTTCTTAATGTCACAGCCTAAATCCCTTATTCCCAATACCTTCCTACATCCACACCTTCTTTTTCATGACAGCCTTTTTCATTCTCAATATCTCTTTAAGGGTTATGATCTAGTCGCTGTCCTGGTGATGATCCAAGAAGTACTGGAGGGCATTCATACAACTAGTAAGGGGTTCAGAAGGCGTGCACACCACTAATGTCGATAGCCCATGCCCAAGTGATTCCTCTCAAATAGGGACTGTAGACCTAAGACACTATTATGGTGATAATAAAGAAACCTATTCAGAAACAATCTTTATAATCCCTTTAGTATTTTCACAATTTTCATGAGCAGAAAAGAAAACATTTTGAAATACCAACTAAACCAAGCAATGTACAGAGGATACTATTCTTATTTTCCTGTAAAAATCACTGAAGTCCATTCTAATATATTTTTCCCATCCCTCGAAAAGTTGAGTTCTTACACAAGCTTCATAATAAACTAGATGTAAAACTGGGGCCACATAGTAACAGCTTGTGTTTATATCGCCAATACTCACCAAATTCTCATTTGAACATGTGGCTTCTTCAGTACATCAGCCATCAGCATTTTTTACATTTCTTTATCAGGCTTATTGGAAAAAGTTGTTTTTGCCACAGATGATTCCAAGATACTTACCCAGTTGTGTAAGGTATATTTATTCCCCCTAGATTAATGCTTTCACATCCAACAATGAAGAGAGTTGAAAAGCACAGCAGAGATACACCACTGCAGATCATCGCCAACTTTGCAGACTCTCTTGCACCAAGTTTCAGTTTTTTTATAATGTAGCCTCCTAGGACAATACCAACACCAGCACTCGGGACAATAATCACACCTGCCGGGAAGAAATTCGAGCAACATTAAAACAGGATCTACAGAAATGAAATAAAACATAAATATTGGTTTCATTCCCTAATTAGATGACTGCAAATGCTGTACTAAGATGTCCATTGTCTGCTAGCAAACCGAGTCAGACTTTTCAAACCTCTGGAGTGTTGTCAAAGAATTAATAAAAGCCTCCTTATGATATTACCAGCAGCCAAAGCAGTATAAGAGAACTATTGTACTCACAAGCAGAAACATTGCTTTGTATTTATTTTAGAATGCAGAGAAAGGATACACATTGCTCCAGTTCAATTACTGAAAATCTGAAAAAATCCAGATTTGGACACAAATCTTCCTCTTCCTACTCTCATGATTAATTCCAGGGAAGCACAAGTTTTAATCCCAGGCAGGCCGCCAGAAGCCTGCCCACCTGGGAGTGCATGCGTGAGCGGGGCTGCAAATTCTGCCTTCTGGATGCTTTACTCAAGTTGAATAGCACTTTCCTGCATTGGCAACCCCATTCATCTCAGCACAGCCTCATGGAGTGCAAACTGACCAAACATGGTGAAAGAAATTAAGTTACTAAAATTAGTATTAGGATAAGTTTAAGACACAAAAGACGTGCCTATGAAATTTCTGTTGCTCTGATGCTGCAGTTATAGGTGGCAGTTCAGCAACATGTCACCGGGCTGTCCTCGCTTCCCAGGGCCTGGGGTGGTGGTGTCAGTGAATGTCTTGCACTTCTTTGCTTCCCTTGGCTTTTGCTTCTCACTGACATGTGAGAAGGTCTTTAAATAACATCTTTGCTAATAAAGAGGCATTCCACATAAATATGGAATTTCAACAACTTTTCGCAGCTGCATCTAGGGAGAAGGAGCTAAACTTTATAATCCAAATTCTTAAGATGTTGGTCTTTTTTTTAAAGAAGCCAGTAATGCTATCACTTGCAAATATCTTTAATATTATTGCAAAGCATTCTCATTCTCTGCTAATTGGTCTAAAGGTGAAGGGGACATTATATTTATCAAAATATTGAGATTGTGAAAGTAAAAATAAGAGGTAAAAATAGTTGCCGCCTTGATTATACTGCCATCACAAATGGCATTATAAAATAAAATGTCATTTCATGAGGAAGATTCTTAATAATAACCCTTCACAGACTCAAAAGCAGTTTTTCTCATAAGAGCAGAATTTAAATGTATAAGTCCTTCTAGGAGAATTAAATGATTTTCCCAAAGTTCAAAGCTCTTATCTCTTTGGAGCTGTTATATCTCTCACTTTCAATGATTGAATATGAACGAGGGAAAGAAATAATGCAAATCCTTTCACTTGCACTGAAAATGTTCTCTCTGGGTGAAAATGGTAACCCAGCCATCTGAGTCTACCAGGCATGCCCTGCTCTATGAAATCTGTGTCAGAGAAGCCCACATCCACACCGAAGGCAGACTAGGATCACTTGCAATGCCTTCTAAAACACCCCTGTCTGGTGAACCAAATTCCATGGAGCAAATCCGTGGCTACATCAGTTATATGAACTAAGGACCTAGCCCAAGGCAAGGGCTTACTGACAATAAACTAACCTCAATATTCTTCTTCCTTCCATCTTATAGCTTAGCTTTGAGTTCTTAACCTCTTTTGGACCTGAATTTACCTTTCTTTCTTATTCTTCTGAGGACATGTATATTGGAAAAGCCTTTCACTAAAACTGAGACTGTGTGTGTCTACATCTAGTATCTTGTCAAAACTGAGCATGTAAATATTTTGTGAGGCATTAGGTTAGTGGGTCTTCCATCAGTGAGTTATACTGTGCTGCTGTTTTCATTTGTCCTCTGCCACACCATGACGATCAGTAAAAAAATGAGCAAATTGCCTGCCGAGGCTTGCTCTCATTCAGGAGGATGGAAAGGTAAAGGAAAGCCCACACAGAAGAAGCATAAAGACCAGTTCCTCCATGCAAACTGAAGATGGAGATGGAAAAACTCTCTCTGGGAGAAACTGGAAGGGCAGGAGCAGATTTCACTGTTTGTGGTAAAGGCAGCAGAAAGAAGCACTCATTCCCTCCTGCGTGTCAGCAAGCCTGACAGGTTCATTTGCCCCAAGTACAAACTCTTCATCCTTATGCCCCTCTCCTTCCGCAGGGGATGTGAAATCTGAAGTGATGTACTGTCAAAGAAACACAGCTACTACAATGCACTTCCAGACGAGCTTCCAGGGCAAAGCAAAGCATGTACATCTAATCAGGACATGCTTTCTTCTTTTTCAAAGGCATTTAGAGGAATAAAGCTTAAGATCTGATACTAAGCCGTTGCACTGCACTCTCTTTCATTTTATGACAGTTTGGCTTACAGGAATTGTGCATGTGCCAAATACACTCCTGGGTACAGTGCTCCGAGGCAATACCGGCTTTCAGTCAGCAATTTTCAAGCTTTGTCCTTTTTGCTGTTGTCAGGATGCTGCAGCACTTGAGGCTTTTCACAGAGGCAAAAGATGATCTTAACAGCTACTAGTAGTCTGGGAACAGAAAACTGCAATATCTGCTAAGCGGGCTACACTAAGGGAATACTGTGGAGATTTTCAAACTGATTCTGACTGAGCTACGTATTATACCTTTTCTAAAACTAAAGGTAGAGCCAATGTGTTTGTAACCATTTTAGCAGAGATCACCAGAGCAGTGCTTTATAATACGTAGTGTGCAGTTCTTCCAATTATAAATTATTTCAGTTGTAACTCTCTTTCTCACAAGTAAATATGCTAGCAAAGCACCTGAAAGTTTAACCTGGATTTGTCTAAGATCTATCTGCAACCTAAAGTCAAAGACCATTTTTTTGGACTTGAGAAAAACTGAAGGCTGAATGTCACATGTCCTGCACACAAAAAAAATTCCAAACAAGACAAGACTGCAGCACAAGCTGCACGAGTTTAAGACATGAAGTTTGGCACATGGCATTTTTGCTGATGATTAATGCCAGGTTTGTTTAAAAATAGAAACAGAGACTTAATTAAAGAATCACTATTTATGAATGAGACGGAAAATGACGAATAAAAAATTTACATCAGTCACATGGAGAGATTTGTCAAGCACATGTACACGTGTAGCTGGCAATGTACATCTGAAGTATAGACGTAGTAATGTAAATAACATGTAGGTCCTCCTTTTGCTAACCAGAAGTTTGTAAATTGGAGATGTCTTTTACTAGATTAGCCAGAGCAATCTAATACAGAATCTCCAAGCTTCCTTTTCCCATTTTTCCTGCAAAAAGTATTTATAAAATTAATAACAACTGTTGACTTTAATGCTAAGTTTCGGAGCTTGGGTTGTGGAAGCAGTGCTCACTTTTCCGTGTTGCACATCCAGCCCAAGTTATTTCATCATCTTCTTCTGGTTCATTATTAGTCTTTATCAAGCCATTTATAACAGGGAAAACAACAGATGTTAATAGCTTCACACCCTGGACAGGGTCACATCATTTTTTCATCTTTTAATGTACTGGCTGTTGAATATTTTGTCTGGCTAGAATGCTTCTGGTTTATCCTGAGAATGAAGGAAGTTATGGAGTAGCAATCCCATCGAGACTCATTACAGCAAAACTCCTATGCACATGTAGCTACCCTAAGCTTCAGATAGAATCATGGTCCCATCAATCAATGTTTCCTCCTTGTATACAGAACACAGGGATTTCATGCCCTGAAGAAAATTTCATCCCAGCAAGCTCTCAAACAGAAGTCACCACATGGTGCTTCTCTGATGTTTCCCCTCAGCGCCCTAGAAAGACTCCTCGCGTTTCTTCCAGCCACTGCAGGTGACAAATGATTCCCATGTGAGGTCTCTGTGTCTTTGTCTCTCTTTCTTCTACCACTTTTTGTCTTTTCCTTGACTGATGCCCCTGGGCAGCTTCACCCCATACTTCACCCCTGTTCCCACACCTCACTATCCACTCCATCACTCCTTCTCCGGCACAATATATGGAAGTATGGGGGAGCAAAGAACTAACCTGTCTAGCAATCAGCAGCTATTCTATATGCAAAGCACTATAGAGAAGGCAGAAAAGATGCTTATAAGTGTAAAAGAAGAAAGAGACAAGTGTCTTTGATATAGGAGCTAGGAGAAGGGAGGTGACCTGCATGACACGGGCCCCAATTCTGCACAACATTTTGGCCCCTTTCCCTAGGGAAGTTCCCATCTTTCCCTCCCACAGAGCAGCACAAAGCTTAAAATTTTGTGGTTTGTAGCTCTGTTAGAAGTTGGACTTGGCTGCCCATTGCCACAGCAGCAGGGGAAATGCCACAACTGCAAAAGAGGGGCCTCGGACCTGCAATGGCAGGTGGGAGAGGATTTGGGGAGCTCTCCTAGCTAGACTAGATCACCGTGTGCTCAATGTTAATAGGTAAATAGGCAGAAGACCACCAGCCTGGAGGGGAGAGACAACTGAAGGATGGGACAGATAAAAAACTTGTCACTGGGGAAAATAAAAAGATTAGGGTATTTTAAAGATCAAAGAGGAAGTAAAATTCACAGAAAGTAAGAACAGCTTTACAATATCTTTTAAAGCACACAAATCACAGTAATGCCTATGGGGTTTCTAGCTTGTTTTTGTTGCTTTTTTCCTCCTTGAAGACCATTAACATATTAGAAAATGTCTATCTAGGCTTATGTAAAAAACCCCAGCCCTTTAACACTATAAATGGGTCCACATTTTACCAAACACATATAGCAAACATCAAAAAAAGGCCTGAATAGCTAACCAAATGCACAAAGCTGGATCCAGTCACCTGTTCCAACAAGCATGTTTTTTGTTCATTCCTGTACGGATTCATTTAATTAGTCAAAGAACGTCAACCCTTTCAACGTTACACTACGTGGCAATGCCTTACCAGTGTAGATGCTGGCATTGGAAGCTGGGATGCCAAACTGTGACTCGATGAACTTGGGAATGAAGGTAATAAAAGCTGTGACAATGGCACTCTCAGCTGTGTATGACAAACTCACAAAAAGGAATGTCATGTTGCTTAAGATCCTGACAGCTGCTCTTGGAAGCTCTATAAAATGACAAAAATGACAAAGGAATGTTATAAATAATGAGTGAGAAACAAAAGCAAACTGAAACAAAACAGGCTGATTTTCTTTGAGATGGACTGGCAAGAATGGCTTGCTAGCATCTGGCTACATTTGCTAAGCAGAAGGGAGAGTGCATATTTGGGATTGCAGTCTTTGCTGTCTGCTCTTACCCTATCTTACTGCATCGCCCCAGGGCTGCAGTCCCACTTTTTACAAACACAACTGAGGTCTGTTTTAACAAAACCATCTGAAGAAACAGGGTCTACATAGTAACACTATAAAGGAAAGAAAAACAGCAATAAAATGTAGTGATTTTGGAATTATTCTGATGTCTTATTTTGGAATTTTCTATGAGATAACAACACATATCACATTGCTGAACC